GATAGAATGGTCAACGTTAGGTTCTGCCATGATCGTTTTCATTGAGCGGTGGTTCACTAATTGTAGTCAACTGGGTACTTACCACTGCCCACTGCGTTTATGAATTCTTAGATCCAAGTTTGAGAAGGAAAAAGTGGTACCTGGTGACGTGCTTTTCTTATATCGTTTGAAATATTGAGAATGTTTTCTTAAGTATGCAGTTTGCTACGCATCATTTTTGCATCATTTCTGTTTTTGTTCCTGTCTGTTTTTCGTCACTGTTTTCAAGCTACCGTCTAATAAGGCAGTCGTCATTGCATCTCGCTTTATTGTTTTGCAAGGCGGAAAATCTACCTGATAACGCGTATAATGTAAAAAACAAAACAAAACAAAACAAACGCGTTGTTTGATATTGTTTCATTAACGAAAAGTCCACGGAGACGTCCACCACAGGGCGATATATTGAAATGTTATATAATGAGTCGAATGATTTTGATTGGTTCCTATATATGTTATGATAGAGGACAGACGCACAGATGACGTCACCGCTAACAACATTTTGCCTTTTTTGTAACAATAAACAGATAGATTCTATGTTGCAGTGGGTCTGTACCATACATCTTCGAACACTTGTTAGCCACTGGTTAGTTTCTTTTATTTTAAAGAATCATTTATCCACAACAATTCAGTTGATCGACTCGTTCGTTTATTGTTTCATTCATAAGTTGATCTTTAATTATTCCCCAATTGGCTTTTCTTCGACTCGCTCTGTTAAGTACCTGCGTTCCGAGTATCCCTAGAAACGAACAAAAGGAGTTCTGTGAGCTTAGATAAAGACAATTGTGGTTTATAGACTTCGGTTCACTTTCGCCAAATCAGTTCCAAATTCTTTAAATTATATTTGTTCTTTCAAATCCATATTTATACCTTCAAATCCATATTTATACACATCTGCAGGACCACCTCAATGTATTGTTATCTGTATAGTATCTGTTACATATTTTTCGTTTGCCTTTGAAACAACCGAGACGTCCTGAAAAGATTTTCGAAAGAAAGAAAACGAATGAATTAAAACAAATTAAACGAAGCAAAAAAGTATACAGGCAAAAGCAAACAAACAAAAGCAAAAAAAAAAAAGAAAAAAGCAAACAAAAGCGGAAATAAAAAGCAAAACAGAACAGATGCATGCATTTTAATCTGCCTTTACACTTTACTTACGAGCTCGATATCTTTTTCTACGCCACGGGTCTTCCAATTCTAGAGGAAAAAGTAATAAAATATCTGTTTGCAAAAATAATATTTCATGTTTCGGGACGAGGAGTGGAAAGATGGAGAGGTGGTGATGGAGTAGCTGTGTTTGCCTGAGACTAAAAACGGATTGTGAAACTTAAATTAACCATCCGTTCAGCTATATCCACTAAAGCTTGAGTATGTTTTAAACCCAATGAAAACTTTTCTCCTCAAAGAAGCTTCTTAAAGCGACGTTTGTTGAGTTCACAGTTAGCCAATCTAAAGAAAAAAGTTAGTGAGTACTTGAAGCTATGGAAAACACACTTTATCAGTACTATTTCTGATGATGTGAATGCAGTATTACTTTACACATAATTTATTTTAAAAGGGGTCCGTCGTGGAATTTAGTGCAACCTTATAGATATATATATTTTTTTTTCTGGGAGGGGGGGAGGTCTAACTTGTTTGTTATTCGTGACAGATCAGAGAAATCTCAATAAAGTAAAATTGCAAAACTTTCTTAGTAATAAAAATTATGTTGATTCTTACCAGTTTTTATGAAGTTATCTCTGAGTTCCTCTTCCGGATCTTCCAATGGGAAAAAAATTGATGATTATGAACAACCAAACAGAATTAAAGGAGGCAGAAAACTCATCAAAATCATGTTTTAGATAAGTTTCAATTTCGTAAAAATTAAGCGGGTCATTAATTAACATTTACTTGAAGTCCATGTGCGCGTTTATTCGTGGTATGTCCAATCGTAAAATGCCACATCATTGACAACACAATATTTAACACTATAATCACGTTACTCAGTAATAATACAACAACAATACATATCAGTAACAATAGATTTCTAGCAACTGTACGGTCGAATTCCATTTTGTAAGGGGTCGATATTTATTGGAGGATTTTGTTTGTGTCAATATAACCCATTTACCTAATCCCCTTATAAGGCTCTGTAATATTATTCTGATCTCCTTTCATTGGCGGTTCATCGGCAGTCAATTTCCTTTGGCACTCCCTTTATATTGTGTTGGCGAAGATTGACCTCGTCCGTTCTCCCTGAAAAGCATGTGATCCCCTACAAAATAAGACGGTACCCCGCGTTCCCCCTGGCGTAAATCGTGACTGTTTCCCCTAAATGGTCTCCTCCAGTCTCAATCACTTGCAAGTTATAAATGAATATAAATGCTTTCCATTTTTATAATTAAGCTTATGCTCTCTGGCTCAAACGGAGAATGTGATGAAACGAAAAGTATCTTAAAACCCAGCCGGAGCATCAGCAACCATTTTTTCTTTCATCTTACTTCTTATCTTCCCAAAAATAGCCATGAACAGGTCATTCAAAAGATGGTTTATGCGTCGAAAAACATACGATATTGGTGACTTGAAAAAAATGTTTGCCATCATTATTATCGTTACCATTATTGTTGTATAGTCTTTGTTATCTTCTGATTCCTGCACAGATGCGGAAAATTAATCCCAATGCATGTTTTACCATTGGGATTAGCTACTTTTTTTAATGCAGCGAAGCGTTATGAAAAAGCCCTGGGAAAGAAACTCAGTAGTGCAAATTAAAATGGTAAAACAACCACCGGAAACTTTTAG